ATGACTATATACATAAGATGTTAGGACTGGCTGTGGATGAGCTAGCAGATGTTACTTAAAATAATTCATCGTTATAAAGACAAAGACAAAACAATTCTGTCCAGTGTGAAAACAACACAGCATGCCACAAACAAACACAGGACGATACCAAGAATCTCCTTCTCATGAGAGACAGGCCGCACAAGTTCAGCCCCAGTCAAGAAAGACAATAGGAGAACAGACATGAATCTATTTGGTTTATAAATTTTAACTTAAATAACAAAGTTTTAAAAACTTTAATATACCAAGAAAGTTGCTGTTGTTGTGAAAAAGTTGGATTTTGTATAATTGTGCATGAAAACATTGTATGTATATGTATTTTAACACTCAAAACACCCATTGTGATAGTAGTTTCCAAAATAGTATCAATGTCCCTCTGATGATGGTCTATAGGGACCGAAATATTAAGGGTCCTAAGTTTTCAAGTAGTAAAAACTTCAATAGTCACACTGGATGGAGTTGTTTTGTCTTTGTAATTGTTAGTGTGATGGACCAGAATGAAACAAATCAAATTCAGCGTTATGGATATGGAAAATGATATGGAAAATACACACAAACTAAGAGCTGAATCTGATCATCATTTGAGAATCACATCCATCAACCCATCATTATAACTGTGTGAAGAAAGTATCCTGGCAAGAGCTTCATCAGATTCACAGCTAGCAATAATTCCCATTCCTGCCTACTGTTATTTCTTGCAGAAACTATCATGCAGGCAGCAGAAGTACTAAGCACCAATCAAAATAAATGTCACTTGTGTATACTGCTCACTGTAATACTGAAGGTCTGCAGGACCTTGGTCTCATGATGACTTTAAGATCATTTGTTTACCTGGATAATGATCTGGACAAAATATGACAAATAACTTCAAAAGAAAAGCTTCCTCATGTGAAGAAGTGTGATATAGAGGATAACTCTTCTATTTCATAAAAAACAGGAATTTAGACTGGAAATTACTTCCTTCTTTAGCTATTCTCAGTTGTTTTGTGTGAATGATTGGACAGTACATGAAAATGAGCTGTGTTTGTTTTCCTCCCCATTTGTTCCAATTTCACATTAACACTCTCATTCACTGGGGGGGGGGGAATGCGGTAGTGTAGTTGGTTGAGGCACTATGCTACAAGCCGGAAGGTCACAGGATCGAATCCTGATGGGGTCATTGGATTTTTTAAATTTACCTGATCCTTCAAGCTGCACTATGGCCCTGGGCTCGAATCAGCTTCTAACAGAAATTAGTACCAGGCATATTCTTACAGAAATTAGTAACAGGAATATTCTTAGAAAGTTCTTGGGGATACATACCTACGTACGTACATACACATATACACACATACACACACACACATACATGCACGCACGCACCGATGCTGGTCCCATGATATTGCTTCTAAACTCATTATAGAAAAATGGATGCTAGAGAATGAACTGTCCAAACTCATATCCATACCAGTGTATTTACAGATTTGTTTCTCAATAACCATTATCAGTGTCACTTATCTCATTCACGGTAATCCTGTTACCATAACAGTATGAACACTTAATTACTTCATGAATTTTGTGAGAGAGTTTTTGCTTCACTCTTCCATTTAAGAGTTCCTAGATATATGTAGTGTATACAACAGCTTAGAACATTAAATATATTAAATGCTTATCTTAGTAATTTGCATAAATTAATTTACCAATTAGTTGTAGTTGATAAATGAGATACAGTGTCAACATAAATTGACAAAACACAGATTACAGTATATGTCTGTTCTGAGTGCAACACAGGAGTGTATTTTTGTCATTATAAAATTACACTGCATCATGTACGTAGGTCAGTCAAAAAGTTCCTGGAATTCCCCTGCAGACAGAGAAGGAGCAATAAGATAGCGTACACACTGTTGTGGTGGGAAGCTCAGCATGTCTGCTCGCAGGCGCAACAGGTGTGGACAGGTTTCAGTGTGCAGTGTCGTTACTGTTCCATTTGAATTAGACATGAGTGTTGGTTATTCGGCGCAATGTTGCAGTTCGAACAGCGTGTGGACATCAAGCTCATGTGCAAATTGGGAAAATCTGCTTCAGAGATGCTATCTGCCCTGCAGCAAGTTTGCGGTGATACTGCACTATAGAAATCCACAGTTTACAACTGGTTTTCTCGGTTTAAGAATGGGCAGGAGACATTAGAGGATGAGCAGAGCAGTGGGAGACCTTCAACATCCAGAACCGAAGAAATTATTGGAAAAGTGCGACAACTGATTCGATATGATCAAAGAATGACCATCACGGAGTTGGAGCAAGAAGTTGGTACTGTTACTGGCCATTTCTATGATCAAGTTTTGCAGAGGTTGTGCGATGCAGTTCGGAGGAAGTGGTGTGACAAGTGGCAGGGACAGTGGTTGCTGCATCATGATAATGCACCGAGCCACACTTTGCTTGTTGTGCAGCAATTCCTCACTGAGAAAAAATTCCTGTCATCACTCAACCACCGTACTCTCTGGATCTCTCTCCGAGTGACATTTGTCTGTTCCCTGCTCTGAAAATGTGCCTCAGTGGGACACGTTTCACAACCATAGACATCAAATCGAATGCGATGGCTGAGCTCCAGAAGATACCATAAGATGCCTTCCACTGCTGCTTCCAACAATGGAAGCAACAATGGAGCAAGTGTGTGTATACGCAAGGGTCCTACTTTGAAGGTTATTAGGTAAGCGTTGCCATATATCCTACCATTAGAGTGCTATACCACCATTCCGGGAACTTTTTGACTGCCTCTCGTATTGTTGTAAGCCTTGATCAACAATCTGACACACTGAGAGGCAACTTGAGCTCTTCTCTTCCTGGAAAATTCTATTTTCTTTGCAGGTTGGTGCATGTGTATGGCCAGTTGTCCAGACCATAAACTATACTGTTGTGTCTGAGAAGAACCGTGTTCCATTCGTTGGAATCTGTAGTCTGCTTTGGACTTGCTTCTTAGCATACATGAAACAACTGGAAGCACAAAAGCTAGCAAAGATACAAGAAACAAGGAAGCTAGGAACTGAACAACGAGCAAGTACACATAGTACATATGTAATTCTGGTGCAGTAGTTTTGCTAATAATTGTCATTATAATTGTGAAAATCTAAACTTAATTGTGTATAGAAGCTTTATGAAATAAATGTTATATGTAATAACAAATATACAATGAAATTCTGAGGAACTTAATACAAAAACAATATTGAGAGTTTTAATATTGTTTTATTTGCATGTGCCCTTACACCTTTCCCTCTAGCTGTTAAAGTGTCTAGCTCTGCCAGAGTTTTTCCCAGATGGCATCTACCATGGCCAGAGACTAGACTCAGCCAGCATTTACTGTGGCAGTTGTTTTGTTGAGCTGCATCTGGACAGGCCAGTGTCTAGTCCATCCGACTTTTACACTGACTAGCATCCATCTCAACAGGCATCTCCTCTGCCTTGCACTGGCTTGGTGTTTAGCCTTTGGTTAGAATAGATTGGGCTTGGCTGGAATTAGTCTAGGCCAAGATTAGCTGATTAATATTGGTGTAAGTTATGCTAGACAAGGCTAAACTAGCTGCATGAAGATTTTGTTTGTAAGCAAAGTTTGCCATGTCGTAACACTCTAACCATAAAATATGTCATATCTGCAGAATCACTCAACTTGTGAAAACTGTAGCTCATGAATGGATAAGAAAGGAAAACATGCAAGCTGTTTACATTTGATTAAGAGCATACAATTGTAGCTGTTGGATCAAATTATTGAATATTATAGGCTACTAAAATTTTCATAGCACTTTCTACTACACTACTACACAGCACTGCACCTTATGCTTGGAAGCACTGCCTCTAAAAGGCAAAATCATCCCTGGGCTTAATCAATTAAGCACCAAGCCATGAATATTTATTGCAGAGTGGAAGTACAGCTCCACTCTTCTTCACCTCCACACGAAATGGATGAGAGTGGTCAGCTACACTCCCCCCCCTTGCTTTACCCCCAGTACCCATTGTATGAAAAGCTGGGTTGGCCCAGATCTGGCCTGAACATTATGGAGAGACCAGTCTCTTGCTCCTGTTGAGAACTGAACCCCGATTCATTGATCATCTGGCCCATAGTCTAGTCACTATACTGACTGAGCCATCCCAGATCCCAGTATTGACTCTAGAAGAAATAATTTGGACTTTAATTAAAAATACAAACATCTCTTCCTTAATAGTAATAAGGGAGTGAATGAGTTTACCTCCAAAATTTATCTGCCACTCTACAAGGAGTCAAATCCAGAAGCTGGTACTCTTTGAGTTTTAATTACATGCACTGAACACAATAAAAGGGTACATAAAACTATAGTCCTTTATCATCATTTTGAAACATCTAAGTACAAGAAGTAAACATGGGAAATTGTAAAGCTGTAATCATATACTAAAACTGTTTCTAAATAAAGGAAGACAAAGAAATCGCCTTTCCTCTCATGTCTTGGTAGTTACTGAGAAACAGAATATTCAAATTAAGCATTTAGTTCTTTGCTGTGTTCAAGGTTAAATGAATGATTAACAGCAAAATGCATTCCCATGTACTGCCTGAAAGGCTAGTGTTATGAAAACAATTACTGTACAAATGTTATGGTGCAGCTTCAACATTAATGTATGAAATACTTATGCAAGTTAGGATGAACTTGTAATGCATTATCCTTCGCTGCCTTTATTTGGGGTTCTAGAACAAATTCAAGTGTGTAACTTTCATTGTTTCAGGCAAAATATGAATTTCAGTGATATGACACCATGTAAAAATGTAAGGTAAAACTGTCCTTTTGCTTAGCTAATTAAGTACTATTCCATGAAGGCATATGGGGGAGTGGATGTAGAGATCCATATTTTCCTGACCTTGGCACTAGGTGGATGTGAGCGGTCAGCTTCATGTCTCAGCCATTTCATCCCCGGGAAAGGAGCTCTCCCCCATTTGATAGGGTGCTAGCTGGTCTGGCTGACGTGGCGAACAGAGCATTTTCGACCCCACTGGAACTTGAACTCTGACCCCTCAGTCATCCAGCCCATAGCCAGTCACTATACCAACCACGCTATCTCTTTTGAAAGTCAACCAGTGTTTTGGAGGACCATGTCACCTCCATCCTCAGGCTTCAAGAATAAGCCAAGCAAGAAACAAGCAGGAAGCAACAAGCAGAGCTGGTTTCTTGCACAGCTCTTAGCTCTGCTTGCCAGAGGCCCTGAGTTTAACCCATCCCTGGCCCAAGATGTGATGCCAGAGCAGTTTCTGGCATTTAGCATATTGTAGGAATTACTTATATTACCTGAATGCCAGTATAATTTAATGCACTATATGTTTTATGAACAATATATGGCATTTAGAAAATTACATAAAACAGTCCCAAGAAATTAATAGGATTATCAGAGATAAGGATTCAAATGTATAAACAATTTAAAACCACACATAAAGTTTTGTTTATTTTTCGATTTATTTATGCATTTACAATTACATTCAGTGGGCACTGTACCACATCTACATACACCCGCCTGTACAAGAGGAGCTGTCAACAACTCCCAACTCTTTAATTGTTTTAGATACACTGGTTGATCAGGTAAGAAATCAAACAGCTTTCATACAATCCATTTATCAGGAGTTGCACACAGAAGAAATGACCTCAGCCATAAAAGATGATGATCAAAATGTTTCAAGATCACATATGCACATCTTAAAAATGGAATTACATTTATAAAACCAGGATAGGGTCTACAGTTTATATAATAACAATTTGACTGTACACTAGAAAGAGCTATTATTTGGAGTTGATTAACAGCTAGTATGTTCTCAGATTTAATATATATATATATTTTTTATTTGTGATTGTAGTCTGGTCACTCTTTCACAAACCACTGAATATATTGCTAATTGTGTGAAGCGAAACTTTTGTTTTGCAAAAACGAGAAACACGATGGAATGAAAATAATAATAAGAAATATAACAGAGTATATGAGACTCCTATTGCATGACTAATATATAACATGCAACGAGATTTGTTGCAGTTAAGGAAAATGGTCCATATTTGCTTCAGTCAAAGTGTTTTGGGCCTCATCTGCCTGCCTGCAAAAAATAACTCCATTTCAGAAAACCCACAACCAAATGCAACACCCTTCACCGTAGTAACCTTTTAAACATACAGGAGGTGGGAGGCTGGGAACTGCAAAAATTAACTTAACAGTGTACAGGAACTAGTCTAGGTATTGTCAGTCTCCCAGTGTGTAAGCTGAAACAAGATGGAGTTGCAAGCAAGTAGCTCCCACATCATTTGTTGATCATGATACAGAGTAACATTATGACCAATGAAGTTACACTTAAAAACAAGCACGAAATACTTTAACAGTACAGCAGTTAGGGAACTAAAGTCAATGCTTCATGTACAGTTTGAATGGCTTCCATTTACAGTGCCATGGTTATGGAACCTCTCTCCATACTTAATTTCTAATTTAATTCACTTAGTTGGGACTGGAGTCTAACTGGGTCCACTTGGCACGGTGGCCACTGATTGGCCTATTGTAGCCTGGCCCGGGTGATTATGATGATGGAGAATTTGGTGGAATGAAGATTGGCAGGGAAAACTGAAGTACTCGAAGAAAACCCGCCCCAGCACCACTTTGTCCACCACAAATCCCACTTGACCAGACCTGGGATGGTGTGGCCTCTCTCTCTCTCTCTCTCTCTCTATATATATATATATATATCTATACTTAGAGAAGTAACTATAATATAGTTCTCCTTCAAGTTATGATGACATTTTCAATTCATTGCTTCCACACTGAAATGACAAAAATATTCAGATTTTAAAAGATTTCCTCTTGGAAGTGTTTCACATGAGAATGGGATATAGGCAAGAGTTCAGAACATATGTACTGTGTGTCTGTATAGTTCCTTGAATGAAAGATTATAGAACTTCTATAAAATGTGCAGAACTGTGACACTTAAGTACCACAGACTATATTTCATCTTAAGGCAGGAGTGATGATAATTCTGATGATAAAATATTAACTTACATGCCCTTTCTTGAGGGCATAATAGATTTTTAGCATTTTCTAACTGCTGTTCTATAAAAATTTACTAAAGACAGAAAATAATAATGAAGAGAAAACAAAATACTTTGTACTTTTGTACGAGTACCACAATTAACAATGAAATCAATGTTACAAGTTGGTCCAATAGGTATCTTAACATATTACACACTGATCTGCTGAAATATGTTGTGATTAAGAAAAAGCTGAACATTCCAGAACGTAAAATTTCTACTACCAGTCATAAATGAAAAAATAGCATTTCATTCCTTATTAGTAGCTTCCCTGACTCTAGAGATTAGTTGCAAGAAGGATATGAATAAATAACACTACTGTGCTAAGTATAATGTCTTGGAACCATCTCAAGAGAACAATAAATGCCAGGAGATAAAAAACTGAAGAGTAACAAGTAACTAACTTTTATGAACCTGTAATACAATCAGTCCACTTGGAGAGAAGTGACATTTAACTCCTTTATCTTGGCACCACCACACCAAATATAGAAAAGTTTCCAGTGTCAATTTGTGATGACACATTTATTCACATGACTGAGAATCAGAATCACATTTGAGCAGTCCCTCAGGCCACCAGCATGTGCCTGAAAACATGTCTCCATTTCTGGTTAAGTTTTGATGGCTTTACCAAACAATTCTTGTCTTGTGACACAAAGAGTCACAACCTCTGCTTAAATATTGGAGTGAGGCAGAAATTCATTTTCATCCTTGTGTGTTGCTTTGTACAAGAGCTTCTTTAGCTAGTCATGATAACATGGAAATTTTGAGAATAAGCCATTATCATTCTTAATGATTTTTACATTACCGTTGGTGATACGATATAAAAATATGCCCTCATTATTATTGTTGTTGTTATTATTTTTTAACTTATCCTCTCTAAGAAATTAGGAAAGATACACACTAATTGAGGAACAGGTTTCTGTAGGGAAATCCTCCCCCCCATCACATCTCCACATCTATGTTACATATTAGTAATAGCGATTTGTTATAGACTCCAGGAAATCAACAGCAACATTTATATGAGTGGGGGCAAATACTATTTCTTATGAGGATGTTTTAATAATGCACCACAGTTAAATGGGGAGGTATTCTTATTACTACATTCATTAAAAGAGTCAAACATGCAACAAATGACAGCAGACTTTGCTATCCATATAAGTATACAAGGTGTGAGATATATATATACATGTATATAATATACTCTGTATTTGTTTTATGATAATACTTGCTCTTTTTCCTGGTCTGCCCCAGAAACTCTTAAAGGAGGTAAAATCATTCTCCATTTACCATCAGTCAATAAGGTACTATATTATTTCAATATACTGAGCACCATTTTGTGCCCATATTATTTTAAGTATACCAAGTAAATTTATAATTATATATACATTTACAAGTATTGTTTCAGTATAACAATGATGATAAGTTTTATTCTTCTTAACAACCTCAATTTTTCATGTTGCATTGGTTACCCACATGCACACATGTCCACAAGAAAATGTCTCGTCAATTATCACTCTTGAAATGTAGGCGTCTGTTCTATGGTACTCACATGGCCCTACCCACCCAACACTGTGCTTAAATGCCTGCCCTTTTTGCTTCCTTTAAATTCACACGTCTTATTTTACAGTTGAGAAGTTCTGTGTTGAATTTGGATTGGATGCCACCCAGGAACTGAAGACATCTCTGCAAATGAAAAACAAGCAATTGCAACAAATTTATTTCAAGACATCAGTGTAATAAGTACAACTATGGTACCAATATCAACAATAACAGTGCATGTAAAACCCCAGTCCAGTCTTATATTGCAGTGATGATATCAAAGTTACGGAACTTACAGAGACCACACAAAATTTAAGAATTAGGAAAATAATTAACTGACTGTATTTATGAGCATATAAGTTAGACTTTTATTAAAAAATTTCAGTCTAAAAACAGCCATGTCATTTGTATGCAAGTCTACTTGGTCTTGCAGAATTTGGGGTTCTCACAGTGGTGATTATCAACAGTTCTATCCTCTATGATAAAACACTGTGTACTCTGTTGAAAGGATGACTCAACAGACAATGTGGCATTACATCTCAGAGAGAGAACTCTTCTACTTGCTTTCATTTGCAGAACTCCATAATGTGTGACTTATGCACATGACTCATATAGGAAATTAGTTTTAAGACCAAATATGGGAGTTAAGAGAAGTGTTAAAAACAAGTAAACACACAAAGCAAATGCATATGCCTATATAAAATTTCAAGCAGATTTTTATAAATACAGAATTCAGGGATGTGACAGCTATTGCATGCCATAACCAAATAGATGGAATTTCCAAGGAAAAGTGACCTAAGGTCTCTGCAGCCCTTAATGACAATCTGTCCCTGCTAAATATTACCTTAGGGAACCCATGTACATGGAAATAGAGGGGACCTTACCAGAAACACAGGCCCAATACTTGCATTCACATTACGAACTTTATGAATGACAAATCTTCATGCCAACTGTCATTCTTTTTTTTTTTTTTTACATTTACACAGAAAACTGATTTGGTTAAGCAAATTTCTTTATCAAATACTAAGTACAATTTTAATTTCTATTTATAAAAGCCTGATTCCAATCTACTCTTGCAAGCATTACTACAGCTTTGGTATATTTTCAACATTTATGATAATCAATTTTTTGTGGTCTCAACCCCAGTTATAAAAAACATGTGTATTATCTGTAGCACACTTTTCTAATTAGTGCACATTTCATTTTTCAAGATAATGAAAGTTGGAATTTCTTATCTGGGAGTCTGAAGTATTCAACTTTGCTGACTGTCCTGCAACTACTTGTTTTTAACCATCTAACCTGCAATGGCTGACCACACATTCATTGCTGCAGTATTCATCCTCCCACTCAGAGTTGGCAATTGCCACATTGGGGCAGCCATGGCGAATGCATGTGTTGCCTGGGCGAAGAGTGCCAGGTCCTGGTTGCTGCTGCTGCTGCTGCGGAGGTTGTTGTTGCTGCTGAACTGGTGCCGGAGGACCACTGGGAGAGCCTGCACCTCCTGAGACAGGGCCCCCAGGAGATGGACTTGATACCAAGTGCTGGTCACTACGGGGTGGGCTCATATGATGTGATGGAGGCACCTACAGACAAGTCAACATTCAATGGATATCCACATTAGACTTAATATTATGTTAATTTATTATTCAACTTTATATTTATCTGCTGAATTACAGAGTATGGATATTTAGACTGAACCTGATGTTACAAGTGTATGTAACTTTGTAAGTACATTTATCTGAGAATGATTTTTCTTCACTTAAATAACACAAAAGGCTTTACAGAGTGTCTACACTCTTTTCTATAGTTACCAACTTGGCAAATTTAGAGACAAAGCACAGAGTGGAATGGATGTTTCATAGAAGAATAAATTTCTCTTGCAAGTACATTAAAATTTATGCTGAAAAGAGTTCAGAAATTCACTCAAAGAGACAAAAGCATTAACAATTCCAAATGCAACCAATCACAAACAGTTTAACCCTCTGTCATACTAAGGCAGCATACAGTGGTAAAATTGAATGGTCTCCATTACATGTAACATATTAGAGAACATTTAAGTAACTGGTCTGACAGAATCAGTATATACTGAATTTAAATGGCATAACAGTATCAAAGCTCTGTATTCTTGTTTATGACGTGTAGTAGCTGACAGTGAAGATAGATAGCTTAGTGACTTAACTCCTGTAGTCTCAAATAGTGACATACAAGACATATACAGGGGTAGGACAAAATAATGGAAACACTACAGACACTGAACACATTTCTCTATTAGCATGGTGCTGAACCACCTTTTGCCTTCAATAAAGCTGCAATCTTTCTTTGAATAGGCTTGTACAAGTTTTGAACAGTCTCTAGTGGAATTTTATAGCATTCTTCTTCAGTATCCTTTAGAGATGTTGGAGGTGGGATCTGTTCCTCATTCTAGTCTCCAAAACTGACCAGAGTGGTTCAATGATCTTCAAATCTGATGACTGTGGTGACCAGGGAAGATGCTGAAGTTCACCGTCATGTTCTTCAAACCATGCGTGAAGAGTCACAACTGTGTGAATGGTGACATTGTCATCTTGGAAAACTGCAACATTGTTCAGAAATAATGTCCGGATCATGGGATGCACCTGATTACCAAACCTGTCCGTATACTTCCTTGCAGTAATTTGGCCATGAAGAGTAATAATGGGACCAACAGAATCCCATGATATTGTTGTTCAAACAACTATAGAACCTCCCCCATGTTTCACTGCTGGTACCAGGTATTCTTGATTGTAGGCTTCCTTAGGTGTTCTTGAAATGTAATCTCTTCCTGATGTAGGGTAGAGTGTGAAGGATGACTAATGACCATATCATGCATTTGAGCATTGCTTTCAGGAGTCAGAGGTTTAGCAAATTGCAGCCCTATCATGGATGTTGGATTTGTGAAACTCATGTCAGACAGATTTTATGGAAATATGTCTTCAAGATGAATATTTATTTCTGCTGTCACCTGTGCTGCAGTACTTCTGAGATTTTTCAAAACAGTACTTTTCAATGTACAAATATCTCTTTCTGTTGATGTTGGTTTTTGCCCACCGTTCCCCTTTGTTGACACTGTCAACTGACAACTCAACTAACTGGGTCCCAGGCTGGCAGCCATTTCACACCAACCCCCTGGCCTTCTCTTCACAGGCTGAATTTCAACAGAACTGCTGACAACTGACAACTTCTCTTCAACTCCAGAACTTGACTGACCCTGCTTATGTTTCAGCACAAACCACATAGAAATCACCGTTTCCATTCTTAGAGCCCAATAATACCTTGACCATTGCACAGAAATGGATGTCTGTTTATTCGCCTATTGCATAGTAATGGCTGCTGTTTACAGTCACTGCTTAGCAATGGGTCTATATGCCACAATATAACAGCTTAAAATTACATTCCAACAAGAGAAATGGGATGTCATAATATATTAATTTCCCTAGATTTCTTTGTTAAGCTGCATCATAAATTACTGCATATTCCTATTGCATCTATATGTAACAACCCACTTCAACATATTTCTTTGATGGTCCTGTTGTCTCTTTCTATATATGTAATAGCAATATAAACTGCAGTTACAAAATGCCTCACCCCATAGATTTAACAAATTTTTTAATCTCTAAAGTCTGAAAGTGAATAATTTCTCCAACATAACAGAACTGTTCATGCAGACTTTCAAACCAAAGAACAAGAATGATCCATATTATGAAAATCATTCTGTTGTAAAAGTTTTCTGTATCCACTGAAATGAAAGCATATAGCTGAAACTCATCCACCTTTAAAAAATATATGAAGAACAGATATTTTTTAGGTAAATTTTGCTAATATCCACTTTCGCTTCACTGGAAACACACTCTTCACAACCTTCAATATTTTCAATATTACCCAAACACTTAACATGTTTGGAAAATGCAATACTAAAACAGCATTCATATCACACATTAGCCTGAAACATATCTGGTCACAATAAAGTAAGTAAAAAAAGTAAAGCTATCCCTGTAACAGGCCGTGAAGGCCCATAGGGTTGTGAGATGTTAAGGATCCCACATTACCTTGACAATCGGCTCAGAGATGGCGGTAAGGTTGTCAGCCTTATGCACCGGCCGCGCTTCACTCCCCAGGAAAATTATTCAATTAATTCCTGGTACTCATTTCTGTTAGAGGCTGAGTAAACCCCAGGGCCTAGTGCGGCCAGAAGGATTAGGGCAATTGAAAAAAATCCAATGACCTCATCGGGACGTCAATGTAAACACTAAAAAAGAGACTGAAATTTTTTGGAGATAGGTCAATGGCATATGCAGTGTCATTATTACAGTAAAGTGTTGTCTCATCTGATCAGTATTTATGATAATTCAATTACCTGCTGCATATAGCTCCCTTGATTCACTTGTGGAAGATGAGATGGTGGCATGTGACCTCCAACAGGACCCATTGGTGATCCCATCATGCCTTGCTGTGGTGGTCCATTGCCCCTCTCTGTCATCATGGAGCTGAGAAGAGGTGTCTTCTTTGCCATATTGGTCATCTGTTGTTGCTGTTGTTGCTGTTGTTGCTGTTGCTGCTGCTGTTGTTGTTGCTGCTGCTGCTGAGAAGTGGATGTGGCCATGGGGGGTGAGGGAAGAGCTGTGGGAGGTGAGTACCCACTGTAGGCACCTCCATAACCTGCATATCCTCCATACAGGCTCTCAGAATCCCCTGCTCCCTATACATGCACAGGGGGTTTGTTTCATCACAAACTATAATATTGCTAATCTGTATATACTAAGTGCAGTGTTAATACAATTATCAAGACTGGTACAAAGTCAAGAAAACAAATAATCTGTACCATCAGGAGAGGAGAGCTCACAAAGAAAAAAAAAAAGACTGATCCTTCAACAACAAAAAGTATTCAAGAAAATATCTGGACCTAAGAGAAATGATACGAAGGCCAAAGAACATTACAGAACAATGAGATTTATGAATTGTAAAGGTCACATAATGTTGTTATGAATGGTAATGTCATGGGCTGGACATGTAGCTCAAGTGGGGAGACAAGAAATGCATATAAAATTTTGATTGGGAATGTCTTGGAAAGTAGACATTTTAAGACCAAGAGGATGGAACCCTTCAGAACCATAATCAATGACAAGAATTAGTATCAATGATCATGGACCAGGATTCTTTCCAAGGGGGAGGCAACCAGAAAACTTTCTGTTTACAAAGTTATTTTACACCATTTAATAGTATTCTTACAGACTGCCCAAGAGTATTCAGGACAAAGAATTTTTGTCAATAATTTTAATTTTTTGTATTAATACTGGGTGCACCATTCTTTCAATTATGACTGTTCTTTAATCTGGGGGGGGGGAAGGCAGATTCCTCGCTTATGCTCACTGTTAACAGTTAACAGTGTTGACCTTTTGGATTCAATTACCACTGGCGTCGATGGACCTTATGCAGTAATTTATTGTTCATCTTGCTTTTGGTGGTGGCACATGTACAGCTGGGCTCTCCTGCCAATGTTTTGGAGGTCCTTGCTGTTTTCATCTTCATGGCAAAGTTACAACCTATTTTGCCTGAAGACGGTTACTGCAAGGATCTCTGAAACATCAGCAATATAGCCCACATTTACCTAATGACATAAGCTCAAAACAAGATCAACATAATCAGTGTGAAAGCCAGAAATCATGTATGACATATTTCATATAAAGCTTCTGTTCTCTCACTTTGCTTACTACATAATCTTGAACCCTCTCCTTCAACCATTCTGTAAGAATAACTATCCATTTAGCTTGACCAGTACAGTTAGTTCACAGGAAACATTTACAGTGTCAAAGATGTTCTCCAATGACTGTAGTCACTGAATTCAAAATGTCTAACCACACATTCTTGACAACAGAAAATGGTGTTTTCCATGTGGTTTGCATATATCCATTGATGGGCAACGAGCCAATAAACACGCATTCTTGACAACAGAAGATGTTTTCTATGTGGTTTGCACATATCCATTGCTAGGTAACTGGCCAATAAACATGCATTTGTGAGAACAAAAGAAGGTGTTATCTGTAAGGTCTGACCTGAGTCTATATAACAAGAGACCAACAATAACTGGCAGTGGAGTTGAGCTCTTCAAGGGAGGTTGAGAAGAGGTGGTGCTATATCTGAGTTAAGTTGAGGGTTCAGCTGTGGAGTGTTAACCAGCAGACATCAAAAGATAGGATTCATTATCAGAAAACGTCTAGAAGAAATAGGTTGAGAAGATTTAGTGTCAAGTGATCTGTAGTGTGAAAATCAGCAACAGTGTAACAATTAATTTTAGTTATGACCTGTGAGTGGTCAATAAATCTAAATCAATTCACCAGTCAAAACCCTGTCTGTAGTCACTAATACACGTGACAACTGGTGTCAGACATGGGGGGACTGCAAACTGCATTCAATTGAAGATCGAACTGCGTAGTTACAACGCCAGGCTACAAAAATGGAAAGCATGGAACTCCTGAAAGCCATACAAGTAATGATAGATGCCAACCAAGAAAAAATGTTTGCTATTGCAAATTCCAAAATATATAAATCATCAGGTAGTGATTAGATTCCTGACAGAACCGATTCAAACAGGAGGTGAAATACATATTACATTCTGAGATCCATAAGCTAATTATTTGCTTTTGGAATATGGAAGATTTGCCTGATCAGTGAAGGACACTGTTATTGTACCAGTTCACAAGAAGGGTAATAAAACTGACTATAGAAATTATTGGGAGATATCAATGCTATCAACTTCATACAAAATCTTATCTAATATCCTTCCCACAATGTTAAGTCCATATACAGATGAAATCATTGGGGATCATCAGTGTGAGTTTCGATGTAACAGATCAACTACTGATCTGATCTTTTCCATTCATTAGACAACGGAGAAAAAATGGGAGTACAATGAGACAGTACATCAGCTATTCATAGACTTCAAGAAAACCTATGATTCACTTAGGAGGGAAGTATTGCACAATATTCTCATAGAGTTTGGGGTACACATGCAACTAGTTAGGATGATTAAAATGTGTTTAACAAACCTTACAGAAAAGCCCACCTAAGTGAACATTTGCCTGATTATTATCCTATCCAGAATGACCTAAAACAAGGAGATGCTTTATCACCACACCTTTTCAAATTTTCTTTAGAATATTCCATTAGGAAGGTCCAGGAAAATGAGGTGGGACTGAAATTAAATGGGTCACATAAGTTGGTGGTAAATGTTGCTGATGATGTGAATCTACAGAGTAATAACATAGATACCATAAAACACATAAACTTTAATAGACACTAGTAAGGAGGTTGGTCTAGATGTAAACAGAGAAAACTAAATATGTGTTGCTAATCTCATCACCAAAAATGCAGGACAAAATCATGACATGCAGATAGGTAACAGATATTTGGAAAATGTGGCACAGTTCAGATATCTGGGAATGACAGTAACAAATCAAAACCTGAATCGAGAAGAAATTAAGGAGACTGAACTTGGGTAATGCTCGCTAAACATATAAAACTATAACTTTGCCTGTGGTTCTGTATCGGTGTGAAACTTGGTCTCTGGTATATAGGGAGGAACACAGACTGAGGGTGTTTGAGAACAAGGAGAGGAAATTAAGAGGAGATTGAATTTGGGTAATGCTCGCTAAAACATAACAATTAGAATACATAAAAGTATAACTTTGCCTGTGGTTCTGTATCAGTCTGAAACTTGGTCTCTGACATATAGGGAGGAACAGACTGAGGGTGTTTGAGAACAAGATGCTGTGGAGAACATTTGGATGGAAGAGAGAAGAAGTGATGGGAGATTTGAGAAAACTGCCTAATGAGGAGCTTAATAACTTGTACTCTTTGCCAAATATAATCAGAATGATCAAGTCAAGGAGGATGAGATGGGTAGGGCACAGGGAGGAGAGGATATTGGTGGGAAAGCCAGAGGGAAAGAGACCACACGAAAGACCAAGATGTAGGTGGGTGGACAATATTAAAATGGATCTTGAGAGAGATAGTATCAGATGGTATGGACTAGATCGATCAGACTCAGGACAATGACCAGCGGAGAGCAACTGTGAACATGGTGGTGAACCTTCAGGTTCCATTAAATGCTGGGAAGTTCTTGGGTAGCTGGACAATTGGCGGCTTCTCAAGAAGGGCTTGGCTCCATAAAGTTAGTTATGGCTTCCATATGTGTAACAATTTCCATAGTTTCCATTTAAACACACTGCATGTTAAAATAATTATTCTTATTTTTAGTGGGTAGTTAGTTAGTTATTTAGAGAGGGTGGGTTTCCCCATGCACCGCGACCAGTTTGAGCTATTGTTCTTCCCTCTATGATAAACTACCAGTCTCTATACCCTACCGATAAATGGTGCGTACCATCAGTCCCGCCGAGCAAGCGAGGTCGGCCACTTGCTTAGCGGTGTCTATAATGCTTCCCCCATCTATCAGAGGCCTTAGAGACTATTGTTGGGAGGGAAACGTCCTGGAATTTGGCTCAGTGATCTCCTTAGGAGATATGAGGTTCTTTTATGTGCTGTAAAGTTACGACACGGGACACAGCTTAAAGTCCCTCCCGGAGGACTTGTTCCCTGAATTTTTCCGCCCTTAAAAATTCGACGACCTCCGCCGGGTATTTGAACCCGCGTACCACGCGTCATGAGGTGGGAACGTTATCTCTAGACTACGGAGGCCGCTTTAAGTCTATGTAACTAAAGACCTGATTGGTCTATTGTACCTGCCCTGGGTGATTATGATGATGGAGAACTTGGTGGAATGAAGATTGGCAGTGGAAACCAAAGTACTCGGAGAAAATCTACTCCACTGCCACTTTGCCCACCACAAATCCCACTTGACCGGACCCGGGTTTGAACCAGGGTCGCCACGGTAAAGGACAAAAAGTACTCAGAGTAGAAAGAAAGTATTCAGTAGCTCTCAGTTCTCAAGTCGAGTCAAGGGTGATGTGCATCACATACATTAACAGAAGGTATACAACATTTGTGAAATGAATAATCCAAATTTAACAAAGATAATATGTTCTGTTCCATTTACCTTGGACACAAGACTTGCCCTGTATGCTGCCAAAGCTTTCAGATATTCCTTCTTAGCAGCTTCTGTCTTCTTCTTGTAAACCTAAAAACAAACATATTCTTAATAACATTCATAATAATAAAGTATCAGCTCTAGAATTTCAACTGTTCCAGTGTTTATAACACAGAAGTAATCTTGATGTCAATGACTAGTATCTATACAGCATGACTAAGCGACTTTTAATGAAACCATTTTGTTTCTTTACCTCTGCTACAACATTTACATTAGAGTTTTATTCAGTCTATTTTCTTTCTCCCAAATTCAGCTTTATTCACGTTTATGTTCTCTATATTCTCTGCCTTTGCTTCATTTTTGCAAACTTTTATTTCCTTTCCTTCATTTCCCACTCCAGAACTGGAAATGCCTTTCCTTTATTACCATTTGAATAAGAAATGACTTCAAATAGATTACCATTCCAAGCCGCATACCCCCCCCCCCCCNTCCCCCCCCCCCCCATTCTTTGCCAGCCTGCTTCCTTGTATTACCTATTTTCATATTTCTCTGTCTCTCTGAGGAATGAGCATGCACACAAGATGGATGCTCCTGAATGTTTGATCATCCTGCAGCAGGGCTTTTACTAAGCACACAATTTCTACTGCTATACTAAACTCTCAAAACAGTGCTTTCAGTTGTAGTTAAGATTAAAAACAAAAATTGTAAGTAACACAAAATTACAGCATTTTGTGTTGGTTAGTAGAACGGTCAAAAAACACTAACAAAATTCAAAATTCTATTTAAATTCTGCACGTTTAATTTTTTCTTGCTCCAAAAACAACTGTGAACAGAGAAAATAACATATTGGAAAGGGGGGGGGGTACTATCTTATTCAAATTAGCTATTGTTTAAAAAAAACTGTAAATTGTAACTGTCATGTAACCAAGTGAGGAAAAACCAAAGAATATCATAAACAGATGTACGTGAAAGGTTAAATTTTTCGCTTAGTGGGGGGTGGAGTCCAATTGGGTCCACTCGGCTCGGCGGCCACTGATTGGCCTATTGTAGCCTGTCCCGGGAGATTATGCCGATGGAGAATTTGGTAGAATGAAGATTGACAGGGGAAACCGAAGTACTCGGAGAAAACTGACTCCAGCGCCACTTTTTCCACCACAAATCCCACTTGACCAGGCTGCATGAAAGGTTACTGTAAGGTTGAAAACCCACTGCCGCGACAAGCCGCGCGCGGTTAAGTTATGGAACGCGGCATAGGGGCGGCAGAGCTGTCGCACGCCTAATGGGAACAACTAACGGACGCGCGCGACAAAGAGCGGCTAGCCGCTCGCGACTATTCGCGTCAGTGGGTTTTCAGCCTAATCCAAAAATTATAGCAAGAATAATTTTAATTTAGTGTTTAAAAGAAATATTCACACAACAGGTTACTGCTTAAAAAATCAGAATTAAATGCAACTCTATTTATATTAATTTCATAACTCAATATGAACAAGACGTTTCGTTCATTTAAATAATTAGACATAAGTTAATATTAATATCGTATTTAACTGTTAAAGGTAAAGTTGTTCTCATACTTAATTAATTAAGCACAACGCCATGAAAATGTATCAGAGTGTGGCGGTAAACTCGCAGTTGCAACATTCTTAAACTTGGCATCAGATAAAGGAAAGTGGTCAACTTCATGTCCCGGCTGCTTCATCCCCAGGGAAGAGCCCCCCGGTGCCCAGAGCCAGTCTGAACATTGTGTATTACAGAAAAATGAAAATCTCTTTTCCCTGCCGGGACTCAAACCTCAATTCCTTATCTGTCCAGGCTGCAGCTATACTGAGCTATCCCGGTTTCGCAACGTCATAACACACACACACACACACACACACACAAGTACATGGTATCCTCAATCCCTACAGGCAGATGCCGGGATAGTACTTTGATAAGGCTATGACTGTCTCCTTCCAAATTCACTCCAATTCTTGATTCACCTATCACCATACCAAAAACGCCGTCCCACGAAAAAAAACAAAACTTTATGGCATAGTTGATGATAGTTACGAATGTGGACAGGAGATGGCAGTAATAAACGACACTGGGAGATATCCTTGTGTCGACGCTTATTATTTTTGTTTCCATACAGATCATAAAATTTGTATCCTGTATGTCATTAAAGTAGATTACGAACTGCCTTACTGAGGTTAGGTTTTGATGACACTGTTTCCCGCCAATAGAAATATTGCGCGTGCACAGTCATTTTTTCAATCGATTTTATGCTCCATAATCTTCCACTGAAATTTCAAGTGGTTTCATACTAGCGAAAAATAAATACTGTATGGAAAGATATAATATAATATATCTAAACCAAGGTCCCCAATGTTGCCACTTTCTTTGGAATTTCCTGACCGTCGTATCCTCCTTGTTTCAATCTTGATTTAAATCTTGAAATTGTACATACTTCAGAAAAAGTTATATATGTATATATATATGAGGGTCGTACTGAAAGTCATAAGCAACAATTTTTTGTAAAGTAACATGCTTTATTATTGACAAACCAAATACACCACCTCAATCTACAGACCTTTCTTTATTTTTCCACATAATCGCCACTTCTTCGTACACAATTCTCCCAGCGTTCTGAGAGTTTGAAAATTCCCCTTCTGTAAAATTCCGTTCCAGCCATCCGAAGACACTGACGCACTGCTTTCTGAATTGCCTCCCTTGTCTCAAAACGTTGTCCACGCAGCTGATCTTTCACAAATCCGAAAAGATGGTAGTCAGAGGGTGCCAGATCAGGGCTATAGGAGGGGTGTGGAAGAACTTACCACCCCATCTTTGCAATTGCTTCCAATGTGAGGCGATCGGCGTGGGGGCCAGCGTTGTTATGCAGGATGATGATGTTTCGTCCCGGACGTTTATCGCGCAATACACGACGGAGCTTGTGCCGCGTCTGGACATAACGAGCAGCATTGATGGTTTGCCCAGGTTCCAGGAATTCGGCCAGAATAGACCCCTCTGCATCCCAGAAGACTGTGCCCATCACCTTTGCAGCTGATGGCACTGTCTTTGCCTTCTTCTTTGATGGAGAATGCAAATGGTGCCATTCCATACTCTCTGTTTCGTTTCAGGCTCGAAATGGTGAAACCAGCTTTCGTCACCTGTCACAATACAGAGCAAAAAATCATCGCCTTCATGTCGTCGATATCTCTGCAGCAGTTCTGAGGTGATGGCTTTTCGCTGACCTTTGTGGTCTTCGGTCAATAACCGCGGGACCCAACGAAAGCCCAAGCTTTCAATCATCTCTTGTACTGCACTGTGCCCTATTCCAAGTTTTCGGGCTATTGTGTCCACAGTCACACGCCTGTCTTCTTGAATGATCTCATCCACTCTTTCCTTGTTGCGTTCAGTTGATGCTGTTCGAGGACGACTGCTCCGAGGCTCATTTTCGATGCTGGTGTTCCCATCTTTAAAACGTTTCACCCATCTTCGAACACTGCTCGCACCCATGCACACACTTCCATAAGCATGCTGAAGTCTCTGGTGAATTTCTGCAGCAGGAATTTCTCTTTCGCAAGAAATTCGATGACAGCACGTTGGCGAAACGACATATCGTTGTCGGCCATTTTGTTAAGAGTTATACTAGTCACGTGATGCAAGCTATTGACGTCACAAGGCACTCAAGGTTAACACAACAGCTGGTTCCACCTACCACCGTACTCTCTTTCGTCTGCTGTTCCCAGGTTGCATGCAAAAAAGTTGCTCACGACTTTCGGTACGACCTACGTGTGTGTATATATAATACTCTCAGACAATTTCTGATAAAGTCAACTTCTCATGAAGTATCTACAACTTCAAGATTTAAATCAAGAATAAAACAAGGAAGACATGACGGTCAGGTAGCTCCAAAGGAAGAGGCCACATTGGGGACCTTGGTGTGGATGGGAAGTAAAAAAAGTAAAGCTATCCCTGTAGGAGGCCATGGAGGCCCATAGGGTTGTGAGACGTTGAGAGTCCCACATTGTCTAGACAATCGGCTCAAAGATGGCGGTAAGGTTGTCAGCCTTACGCGCTGGCCGCGCTTTACTCCCCAGGAATTTAATTAATTCCTGGTACTCATTTCTGCTAGAGGCTGAGTCGACTCCAGGGCCATAGTGCGGCTGGAAGGATTAGGTCATTTGAAAAAAAAAATCCAATCAGAGGTTCATATAAAAAATGAATCTTAGAGAAATCGGATATGAAGGTGGGTGCTAGATTGAACTGGCTCAGGATAGGGATTAATCATGAAATTATATGAACACGGTAATGAACCTTCCTGGTTTCTCATAATCAGATAATTTCTTGATGTGCTGAGTGTCTATCGGCGTTTTCAGGAAGATCCTGCATATTTTATTTAATTATGCAAGCAACCATTCAAACTTAACACGTTTCAACAATATTTTGACAAAATGGGCACAAAAAGCAGGAGTGATAAGCACAGAATTAACGCTCCATCAGTCTGGTGTCAAGATTGTTTTCATACATCACTTCACCTGCCATCTTCAGATCTGTCAAAAGACTGTGATATATTTTTTCCTAGCCGTATAATTCTAACACTTGACAACATAATTATTTGCATTATATTATACTACGGTCTATTTTCATAATTTTTTATTCATCAGAGTTTGAGCCACTGTAACGAAATTTATTCTCCGAAATTCAAGACACACATCCTGCATGGCAGACAGGATAGAGCTTATTTCATTAGTCACAACATTCTATATCTCCGTGACACACAATGTTCATGTCTAGCTGTGTGGAGAGAGAACTATCCATTCAAACTGTCAACTGCTATAGCGAGTATTCTGTTGGAGTTGTACTAACTGAAAATTATAATCAATGCATTCATAACGGCACCAATCCATCACAACTGGTGAGAGTGAGGGGGACATCACAAGGCACTGTTAAGATTGATGAATGAGTGTTTAGAAACCCAGACTGTAGAATGGAGGAAGACAAGTACTGTCAAATTAATGAAACGCTATTTAACACAAGGCATTCCAGTACTCGTTCAGTAGCCCAAACTCTGTAAGTTTGCATGACAAGGAAAACCCATTTTATTACTTTCA